TGCGTTCCACCATAATTTTAACCACGATTATGGACACTTAATCAGTGGTTAACTTAATCGCCTAAAATGGCTGGTTAATGACGATAATAAGATTAGTGTGGCATTATAACCTCGAACAATGTTTTGACGTATGAGGTATGACGATGTTTTTAAGACCCCGAATATTTAATCCGCGAGTCAATTATTTTGAAATCATGGACACCTTGAGTTTTTTTACGCTATTTCGCTTATCAAAAAACACTGTCCAAACAATACTGCTGGAAATAGAAGTGGACCTGCAACATACTACAGAAAGTTATGATAAATGAATAATAGTAAAATTGCCACATGTTCATTAAATGCATTTTTTAGAAACAATACTATTCAACCCACGACACAACTTTTACTTGTGTTGAGGTATTATGCAACTGGATCGCATCTTATTGCTTCTGGAGACTTTTTTGGAGTAAGCAAAACTAGTCCGCATCGAATTGTACCTGTATATATATTGTAGTAACTGCTGATAACTGATGTAACTGCTAATATATATATTGTAGTAACTGCCACATTAGCTCGAAATGACATTAAACTCCCATCTACAAAAAGGGAAATACAAGTAATTTTTTGTGCACTAGCTCGTTTTCCCAAACTTATTTCAGTGTTATTTCAGGATTGTACTCATATTAAAGTACAATCCTTTGGGGTAGGACAAGGCTGAAGTATTTCGTAATAGAAAAGTATATTTCTCTATCAATGTTCAAGCGGCATGTGATTACTATTTTGAGGAAAAATGATTTCAGTTGATCTGTCAGTTGTTTGAACCAATCAGAACCGTGGATCCACAGGAAATACGATCTTACCCGATAAGACTGATGATTATCTAACCGGAGTTAAAATGTTTGTTGTGGAACGCATGACAATTTAATCATGATTAAAGTGGTGATCAAAAAATGATTGTGATTAGTTAATCAAGAATTTAATCACTCTTAGTGGAACTGGGCCTAAGTTTGTGATCTATCTAAATAAGTAAAGAAAATATATGCAATACCTTTAGTACCAAGTAAGGCATAAAGCTAGAGCCTTCGTTTTCCAACATCCGATACTGGTTCTCCGACAGCATATTAAAAATTGCGTGTAGATATTCAAGACCTTTAAGCAACACCGAAGGATTAGTGTCAAAAAATCTGAGAGTCAGCCACTTCAAAATCAAGTCCAAATTCGAAATCAATGCCTCGCTATGATCTGGAAGATCTTCCATCAAAGCTTCGATTGCTTTAATGTGAAATCTGAAAAAATGGTTTAAATATGTACATCAAGTGGTATTTGGCTGCGTTTACTACAAAGACAAGTAAGCAGTAAAACATTCCAATTCACCAACAATCAAAAATAGTTTTTGAACGCGAGAACAGGATTTGTTATTATAATAACGAAATTAGTCCCCGAGTCTTTGACTAGATGCGAACGCAAGGAACTTTGACAAATACAAACGACGTGAAATATATTTTGTTAATCTTAACATTCGTCAAGTCAAACCAAATAAAAATATGTTTTATTGCCACAAAAAAATTTACAATCTTTATGGACAAAGCGAGTAAAAAACAAAATACTACAACATCTAATACATACAGTATAATAAAGACGGTCAATAATGTTAAAAAACAATACAAAAACAAAACATAGCACGTACAATCATAATGGACGTTACAAACACAGAGGTCATCAAAGCAAATCAACCACCTATGGTTACAAGCGGTGCAGAATAACTAAAGACAAGAACTTGAGAGACGATGCGATGGTTTGCGATGATTGAGAAGATGCGATGGATGATTCTCTAGGTCCCAGCCTMAACATAGTTCGGATTGCTATCCTTTGSAGGCAGAAAATTCCAATAAAATGAGTAGAGCCACCACAGTGTTACTCCGTACTGCATATTAGAGTGGAACAACGCGAAATATACAGTTCTAAGGACATTCAGTTCTAATGTGTCCCTCAGATGGCGGAACATAAATATGGCGGTGGAAAGTTTTCCGGAAAGAAAGTCCACACTGATTGTAGACGTCCCCCTTGATAACGGCGTGTTTTTTTTGGTTAAAAWTTTTCTTTTCTACAAGAAATATTTGGGATGGAAAGATTTAACATGAAGCCACTGTATGTATTGAAAAGTACGCAAAGATTCTTTRGGACACCCTGTTCCAGTTTTAGTTTCATTCTATTTAAACACTACAGTACATTTGAACATGTTCATCGCCTGATTGATAAAAAAACAACATCCCGCTTATAAAATCAAAGACCCGCGTATTCTCAAACAGTAAAATTTATCTCTGGTATCCTGATATTCATCTGATAAATGCAATTATAATAAAACTTTCAGACAAAAATATAAAATGTCCGGCCTTATCCCCGCTAAAACCAACTACTCCTACCTGAAATCAGCGTGAAACATATTAAACATTAATGTTTTATTAACATTCGCAGCGGTCATTTGATCTTTCAGCAAATCAATGAACTCGTCTCTTGGCTGTGTAAAATTCCATTTAAGAACCTTGAGTTTCGATTCGTCGATAGTTCTTTGGTGTTTCAGGTTGTTGACAACCAAAAGTGGGGATGTATCATTATCATCATCCTTTTTTCGGCCAGTCGGGGACACATTGCGTTTTGCGGGACTAGAACTTCCCTGCAACAATTCGATTATGCGATTTTACTTCACTATAACTGAAGAACTTCACATCTACATGTTTTTCAAACAGTTTACATTCTTCATGTTTAAGGAATAGTAATTTAATGAAATCCATATTTTACAATTTTAGGTAGGTTCATCATCATTATTAAACCACAAATCACACTTCATTTGGAATTTCAATTGCTAGGCTTAGTAAACAAAATCAGCTAAAATTCAAATTATTCATGAATCTCAAAAACGCAATCCTATTGGTTGTGACGTCTCTGGTCATATAAATGGCGGATTGTTTACGTTCTGTGCATTGTGTTTAGTTGTGTGGTTGTGTTTCATTAATTATTTTGTGGATTTAAATAATTTATAGTTGACAACGAGTGCTAGTTTATTGGATTCACCGCAAAAACTTCTACCCAGGGCAATTTTAACTTTTTTCTAAGTTAAGCAGTTTACGTAATATGTGATAATTAAAAGTGTTGATTTCTTGTCTTTTCAGGATATTTCAGGAACCAAGCCGGGTACCTAAATTTTGAAAACGATAATGAATAGGCAATCAAATTCTGCCCAATTTTGCCCATTTAACGGATTCTCTAACTTTAAAAATGTAGAAGTTATTGCCTGTATATGCAAACAATTTTTTCCAAGCATGAACATTATCAAAAGTAAGTCGTCTTATTGATGAAGACTTATCAATATGTAATCATGCCTACAATTAAAAACAACAACATACGAGTATAAACCTGACTTAACCAAACTTTCGAGAGAGACGCATGTACATTGTTCGCGTGAATAAGTATAAAATTTAGTTTTATTTAGTGTAATAAAAGTTTCCTAAACAAGCGGATTTGGCTCCAATTTTTTTTTTCAAATTGTTGTAATGTTCATATTAGGCTCTTTGGCTAATAAGTTTGTCTACCACTAGTCTAGCCAATGTGAAGATTAAATCACTCAGCTTGACTAGCGCATACATACGGCATTCTTGATTGCCTAAAATGCCGCAGTCAAAAATCAGTCTAAAAAATGCCGGACGTCGTACATTGCCGGTAACATAAGTATACATTTGACAAAAAAAAATTATAACAGCAGCTAGGTACATAAAATAAAAGTATGCAAGCAAATAGATTACCTTAGGTTTTACGGCATTTTGCTTGGTTGCCACAAGTGTGTTGCCCTTCACAGTTTTCTTCTCAATAACTTGTGCTTTTTTCGGTAACGGCTTTTCAGGCAAGTAGGCCCTGGCTTTTTCTAATGCAGTTATAACGATGGACTTGGAACCAGGCTTCAGTTTTTCGGTTTGCTTGTGCATCGATTCAAAGCCTGAATAACGTTGATAATTTTCAATGAATCGTGATTCAAATGTAAAATAATTGATGAATGTTTTTCAGGCAGGTGAAATAACTGTTTTTCCTAACGACACTTCTAAGATCTAGGGCTTGAAAAGTAGGCCAGGAGAATTATGAGGAAATCTTTCAAATATGGCTGTAACGTGAGGTAACTTAGATAACTATTGGAATCGCTCGGGAATAGGGTGTTTTCATTGTAACAAAAATTCCTACAAACTAAACATTAATCTATGGCAATATATGAAAGATTAAATAAGTTTATACTATCTATCTATTGCTATTTTGTTAAATATTAAATAAAGAAATTTAGCTAAAATTCTAATTATTCATGAATCTCTAAAACGCAACCCTATTAGTTGTGACGTATCTGGTCATATAAATCGCGGGTTGTTTACGTTCTGTGCATAGTGTTTAGTTGTGTGGTTGTGTTTCATTAATTATTTTTAAATTTAAATAATTTATAGTTTGTTTTAAACTGAAAAATGGCTTCAGAAGACCAATTTACCATGTGTATATATTTTTATGGTTACCTAATTTTTAGAAAATCACGAACGCTTTAATTCAGCCGAATTTAAGTCTGTCAAAGCAGCAGCGTAAGTAAAAATCCGTAAATTCATTATTAGTTACTCTCTCCTTAATATACTAATCTGTCTGTATTGGTTTAAATTAGGTAAATAATATATAGAATTTTACATCTTGCATCCTGGCACAAAACACCACTTATTTTGTGATCCATACATGTCACATTTTCCTTCACGCAAGATAATAATAATAATCAAGAAAATCATGATAATCACAATAACTTAAACAATAAAACAAAGCTGCGAAAACAACAAACTAAACACGAGACACTTTGTTGATATGACTTGCTACGTCACAATCGGGATAGGCAACCGACGATACGGATTCGACGTTTTTGGCGGATAACATCTGATTTGAATTTAAACTCGCTTTAAAATTATTATCGAGACTTTTTTGCAAAAAAATAAACATGTGTAATGTTTGCCATAACTACTTTCTATATATCAACATTTAAAAAAAAGTGAAAACACCCTATTGTATACCTATTGAAAATTGAAAATTGAAAGCGCCAGCTTGAAAAGGGGTGCTATTTAGATAAACAACAAAAAAGTGAAAAAAAATGCGAAAATCGCGTTTTTTCCGGGAAAAATCGCATATAACTCGGTAAGTATGCATTTTGTAGAAAAATTGTATACTGTTTTCATTAGAAAATTTCATAACAAACAAATTTTCTGTTGAGTTGACTCGATACGCGTAGATTTGAAATGCTCGCTTTAAAATGCTCGAAGGTGCAAAAAAGTAGGTAATTTTACATTATTTATTTAAGAATAAGAACAAATAACTCAATCACGCCATTCATTTTAGAGAAAATGCTTGGCTGAAATACAAAACGAGAGCCGCAAGATCGATTAAGATCGGACGGACAGTTTTTGCATAACGCAAGTGTTAGATAACTGAGCTGGAGAAAATGCTTTTTTCATTTTGTACCAGGCTCAAAGTTATGAAATTTATGGCGCTTCTACGCCTGCTTGGACCCTTAAATTATCATATTCAATTGCTATATTAACCATTTTTCAATTTTGAATAACTTTTTGAGCGGTTGGGTTTTAAACAAATAAGCATGTGAAGCGGGATTTGCGAGTAGAAAAAAATTGTAAAGTAGAGCAAAACTAGGTACTCCGATTTCTTCCCACTTCCCACGAAAATATTCTTTACCTAATTTTTGTCACTTTCAAGCATTTCGGGACGAACATTTCAAATATACGGATATCAAGTTTCACAACAAAAAAAATTATAAGTATACATTTTTTCTCTTAAATGCAACTTCATTAGAGTCACGTTAGAGCCATGCCAATCTGCAACCGTCCTGGCCTAAGGAATTTACATCACTTTTCAGGGTAATATTTTGGGCACCGGACCAGAATGTTTGTCGAACCATTCAGGGTGTCCAAGATAGAGATGCATTGCATGGGGATCTCCAAAACCGAGAGAGATACAAAGTCGGTTAAATGAGGACAAAGTTGCACAATAAGAGGGCCATATACATAGCGTTTTCAAAAAGGAACTACTCCTTTCAGTTTTTAAGATATTTAGAAAAAAGTGGTTTTTCGGATTTTTGTTTCCATTAATTTTGGCATGGCGCCTTTTCGAGCATCACAAGACAGTGTCTATGAAAATGTATTCCAACGTTTCGTTTCTTAGAAGCCATCACCAAACGTCTGGCGATCGTGATTGCCAGGAACCGTAAAGCCATAAGCCCGTGCAGTACAACCATAGGACGGAGTTGCGCATATGGGAATGTCTTGCATCCTGGCGCATAAAATTACTACAAACGGCTGTGGAGTACAACGGCATCTCATGCATTGTCAATAAAGATCCGCACAAATGTTTCCGGAAAATCATAATCCGAAGACACTTTTTTGCTTAATTTAAGTTCAGCAGATTAAGATACATAACCAACATTGTTTGCGCAAAAAAAAATCACTTTTGCAAATTGCAAATTCTAGAAGAAGTATCCCGCAATCGAAGGAAATGTATATCATGTATTATACGAAAAGAACAAGTCTTCATTATACATAATAAATACCGCTATTGGAGTTTGTGATTGCTCATCTGGCACAAGCATTTCTGCACTGTAGAACTTTATTGTGGATCTCTTTTCCAAAATTCGTCAATTCTACATCATAAAGACAGAGCTAAATGGGCACAGATTGCAGTCGGGGAAAATGTGGCTGCAGATTTTTTCCAAAATATTGATTATAACCAAGCTAACTCTGAAATCGCTCCGTCAGAAATTAATCCAGACACCACATCACCAAATGGATAAATTAACTTTCAATTAGTTAATTTATATGATGATAACGGAATAAATCACAAAAATCAGTTGATGAAGTCAATAGAATAACTAATATATTGAGCAAAAACAGTACACTGAAAGTACACTACCTACCAGTGCTTTAATAACATTAAATGCCAAGTTAAAAAAAATCAGTCTCCAATGCAGGCTTTTTTTTAATAGTTTTTTGGTGTCCGATAATTCTAAAATAAAAATAATTTTTTCGCGGCATACTCCGTCTTACCGGAGCCATGGAGGTCCGCAGAAAGCATTTTTTTCTTATTCCAAAAAATTATTTGTTCGCTAACGCCGCGAAAAATCCCTTTCATTTTAAAATTATCGGACACCCAAAACTCTTCATTAATATCGGTAGATAGATTGTAGGGTTCTTGGGATGTTAATAAATAAAATATGAAAAACAAAAGTTGATGATGGTTTCAAAGAAACGAAACATTGAAATAATTTTCATAGACACTATCTTGTAGAGCTAAAAAATGTGCATTGAGAAAGTATTTTTCGTTTTTTTATGATTCGACATAACTTCAAGAATAAAATATAATGAAAATCCGAACTCACGTTTTTTAATATCTGAAAAATAAAAAACTTCATTCTCGATTCCGCAACTTTTTGCAAATTTAACCGACTTCGTATCTCTTATGGTTTCGAAGATCCCCATGCAATGCATCCTTATCATGGACACCCTGATATGGTTCGACAAACATACTTACACATAAACAACATAAACAGACTTCTATAATTATCTGGAATAGAAAAACATGTATCTAAGACCCTAAGATGGCTTAAAGTCCTGTTATCGGCATTCGCAATAAATTAATGTTTATTTAAACTGTTTAAAACTATATTTAAAGAATCATTTTTTAAATGGAAAACAATCAAATTATTAATGACACATTGTTCCCTAGGAAAAAGTTTTACGTCCAAATAGCGTTATTTTGATTGGCACCACCCGATCTCCAGACGTTGTCACGTACTTATCGGATACCCTGTATTGTCATAGTGTTTGGACATACCTGTGTGTATCATAATTCCTAAAACTGCTTCTCCGGCACTTTTCCTGACATCCGCATTTCTGTCTTCCAAATTAGTGTACAAATACGGTAGGCATAGCACCAGCTCTTCCTTYGAAATGGATTTTAGGGGCACTTGAAACCACAGATATTGTTTAAACATATTTATATATATGTATGTACATATATTTTATTTATTAATTGCTTATATRCAGGGTGTCGCAATAAGGATRATAGGCGGCTGTATCTKGGAAAGTATGTGTTGTAGTGATTWAAAAAAAAATTCTAACCAAACTTGAAGAAAATAATTTGCTGGAAATTATTTTCAAATTTCTCAAATCGGGACAATTTCTGTATAAAATCGACTTTTAAAATACCATAAGCCATCTAGTGGTCATCTGAGAAACTTCAAAATAATTTCCAGCAAATTATTTTCTTCAAGTTTGTTATCAATTTTTTTTTCGATTACTCTACAACACGCACTTTCCAAGATACAGCCGCTTACCATCCTTATTGCGACACCCTGTATAGATAGTGGATGATGCTTACCGTTTGGTAAAACTTCAGCCAACCAGTTCCACAATTCCGACCTCAGGGTTGGCGAGCCCGATTTAAGAGCGTCTGAAATAATTTCTCCTTCAAAGAATTCTTTATAACCGCATTGCTCGGAAAATGCGTTTATTGTTTCTCGGGCTGCTGTTCTCATCCACGCCTTGCTGTCTCCTAAATCTATTAAAATAAAGCAAATAACAGTAGTAGAACGAATAAAGTGACAAGCACATTCACAAGCTCTGGCAAAAAAAGGGTAATAAGAGCTTTAATCCATGTGAGGCTCAATAAAAAAAATGAACAAAAACATTTAAAATTAAAATCTCGACAGACGAATGTTCAGATTTTTTCAAGTTCACATTCAAAATGCCCCAACTGCCGATAAGTCTTTAAATTTATAAGAAATTACTATTTCTAACAAAACTCCTCTTTGAATTACTGCAAATATGCTATCTACGGCAAAGTAAGGTAAGAACTCCCAGTAGCTTTGGTATTTTAAAAAAGAGATAGTATTTGCTATTACTGTTTTTTATCATTTACTTTTCAGAAAATTGAAGGTTTGAAGACAGGACAGATCTAAATGATTATGTTTCCCATTTATGAGTTTGAATTAATTTTAAAATCTGATAATGGTTGTCTCGCCGAAACGTAATGAAATAAACGATATACAAAAAATTTGTTGTTTCACACTGTGACTGAAGCCCAGGAAAGATTAGAATATAATAACAGTCAGGAAAATAAATCAGAATAATATAATAACAATTACACGCAGGCAAGAAAAGACAAATAAGGAAAACTTAATAACTAGTAGGAAAGGATCCACATATTATTTCTTTGAACAATCCAAAACAAATTTGTAATAAAGTTATGAGAGATTTGTACTTACTCTGAATAAACCCTGAAAACCATATTCTGATATACTGCTTTGAGGATGACCCCATGGATTTGGTAATGCTTTGGCAAATATTTAAAGCCGTCTGGGCTATTTTAACGTTGCTGTCCGTTAACCTTGCTGCCAGAGGCTGTGGCAGATCGCCTAAATTAGGCTTTATAAATTTGGCTTCTTGAATAATATTATTCAATTTAGTCAAAGCCTCCATCCTTTCCTAAAATCGAAATCACTTTCTACTAATCACATTGCAGTAAACGATTCATTTTAAGCTGTTTGATAGCATTCTAAAAACAAATGATAAATCCTTGCTTTAAAAAAGTACTTTCTTACACTTAAATAAAAATGGTTCTTCAGTCTCAATAACAAATTTGTAGAATAGAAATTACAGTTTTTATCGGCATAACAATAAACAGTTAGAATAATGCTTTCCAAATACACTGGCGGTACCAAGAAAAATTCCACCATCCGAACATACCTGCCAGGCTTTGCCACTCATTTCATTTAACAACGCCTCAGTTATCTGGCCACTTATGTTCACCCGCGGGAGTAAGTCCCGAACATTAATGACTGGCTCGTTCTGACCAACGGCTTCATGACCAATTTCGTCCAAACTGTCGGAACTGGCTGATTTTGCTACAACTACCAAACAAAATAATATATGAGAGAGTTTCAAAATTAACTTTTGCTTTGTAAATGTTTAAATTCCGCTTACAATGGCATGTTCCATTTTAATTTTAATTTCACAAATTACCGAGCAATCTGCACGACTACAAGATCATTTAATCAATTTCTATTTAGAATTAAACATCCCATTAAAATATTGTTTTTGATTTTAAAATATTTTATTTTCAGTTTACCACTGTTAAAAATTATGTTTTTAATAAAGGAAATCATTACATATCATCACTACTTGTACTATCATCATTATTCTGCATTTTAATGAAAAATTTAAAAAGTAACATGTTCCTTTTGAAACCTATTACCAAGGTGAAACTGGAACGTTGTAACCCGTTACAAAAGAATAACCGTTTATCACACCTCCAATGGCTTACCTTTCTTGCCTCGAATAGGAGCAGGTGCAGTAACACCCTCATACTTGTCAAATTCAGCGTGAATTTGATCGCGCAATGCCGCCTTCTCGTTCTCGAAAAACATGTGTAAATTAATTCCCATATACAAATACATGGTTCCCAAAAGAAGTATGGCCGACTGTCTTACACCTGAATTAGCAGAGCTGAGAGCGATTTTGCAAGAATCGATAAGCGCCTTCACATCTACACTCCTGCCAATATCAAACGGAAATGCAAAATGCAACAATGTCCAATTCATTTAATGCTTACGCGATTCCAAATTCCTTCAAAGCTGTTGTCAGCCAAGTCAAACCTTCTTGTTGAATCTTAGGACTTTTTTGTGCAAATATGGCGCTCAGCATTGTGCTTGAAACGTGACCCAAACTGGTTGCTTCCGCCATAGCAGTTAATGTATCTGCAACTATACTACCATTTTTTGCATCTCCGAATTTTTCCGATATATCTCCAACACAACAGTCAACTGTTGTTGTGGAAAATATACTATTTTCAGCAAGGTACTACAATTAAAAACAACATTTTACACATTACAATAAATTTCGATTAATCAACACTAATAAAATTCTAAATAAAAAAGTCGCATAACGTAAAAATATTTTTAAACTTATTTAAGTGCAATTCTTTAAATATCTCGAAACAAGAAATATATTACTTAGACCACTTTCACAATTATGTTATAAGAAAAACACATGAAATTTAATGCAAAAAGTTTACCTTAATTATTTCAAGTTTCTTACGTATCACTTGAAAGTTAGTGTCCTTGAGACCAGGCTTTTTCATCAGCGTCTTCACAAAAGCTTGCGATGGAATAGATTTATTTTCCATAGACTGAATTTTGGTCAAAATCTCTTCGACGGCATTCAGCCTAAAAAATTAATATATGTTTTAACAGACTCATTCACAAAATATCCCAGGTGGTTGCCGGTTGAAGGAACCTTAGTATGTGGAAACCGTAAAAAATTGGCTACATGTATAAACATTCGTGATCTAACGATGTGAAATATTTCGGCAATGCAGCGTTACCGCTAATGCCAAAATATAGTATCAACTTTACTGTTTCAAATGACACATCGGTTTACCTTCGAACCTTCCTATTTAAGTATAGTAGCATGATATATTATGTCTATATTTGGAAGGAATTTTGGAAGAAAAATTGTGCGTCACTTGCAGAAAAAATGTAATCCTGTGATTCATATTTTTTAATAAATAACTTATTTTCATAATTTTATATATTTTAAATTTTATATAACTTTATACAATAAATAATATTTTACACTTAAAGTACAAATGATTTTAAGGATAACAAATAACGACAGCATATTGCCGGCTAACTCGCAGTCCGCTTCAAGAATCGGCTAAGGGTACATACACACTAAGCGGCCCCGTGATGGGGCCCGCCGTCTGGTCCACCAAATGCAATAAAAATGTAAAAAATAACTAAAATAAATAAAAAAACACTACGTAACAAAAACTTGAATGAGTGTTTCATTTTTTTATATTTAAAAAAGGGTAAATGCATGTTATAGCTGCATTACCAGTAAAGGTCAGATCAGCGAAATATTGGAACCTGAGGTCGCTTTAGTCGAGGAGGAAGACATTGAGGGTGGAGCTCCGGCCCGTGCCCGCAACGTTCAATGACCAGCGGCTACTTCGGTTTCGAAGATAGAGGTTCCTCTCGGCATGTAGAGGTTGGGGACATGGAGGACTTTGGGTCTAAACAGGGATCCCTGCTCGGTTTAACACTTTTGCTTAGTAACAATAGCCATTTTTGAATGATAATTGATTGTTTTTGCCCTTGATGTTAAGATAAATGTCAATCAATGAAATCTGAACCGTTAAAGCCACTTGTAAGCAATCAGATGAGATCAGGTTTAACTTCCGCAATTTCTTCTACAGCAACAGTAATATTCCTTTATTGCTTATAGTTTGATGGTATTTCAAGAGCAAAATCATTAATTTTCACGCCGATGTGAAAACATTGGCATTATAAAGTGCAGGTTTTGTGATTGCTAATTTCAAGCTGAACCCATCTGATGAGAGCTAATAGGCTTGAAACCGGTCCTGGGGGTGCCTGAGATKAGCGCATTTCGAAATTTGCACTTGCCTATTTCAAAATCATGAAGTTGCAAGATTTTCTCAAGTGGGAGTATTTTAATTTTTTTTAACCAATTTTTTTTTTATCGTCGTACAAACAGATACATGGGACACAGGCTTTAGGCCTTACCAGATTGTAACCGGCGTGGTTTGGGTGGTGCGTTTATAGCCGCAACAGATCAGTTTAAGAGATTAATTCGCTAGGTACATTTGGGAAAAAACTGTTGAAAAGCTGGACGACGCCGAACTTTTAACCCTTATTTTGTTAGGAGAGGAAAAAAAGAACAATTCCTTTTAAAGAACCCTGAAACAAATTACCTGCCGATTTTTCCCACTGATGGGTTATTTTTCTCCATCCATTTTCTATTACGGTACAATTTCATTGACTTCTTTAATTAAATTGTCATCCTCATTCGCTAAAAAATAAGCCATTTTTCCAAAATCGCAATTGCGGCTGTGATTTGAGTGGTCCGTCTACCAGTTAAATCGCATTAGCTGCGACTGGACCAGCGGTCTCTAGTAAACTTACAGAAGAGAAAATRTCTTAGAAAATCCTGATTTTTTCCCAACCTTCTTTTCAGCAGTGTTTTTSCGGAAGTGATGGATTACCSTACTGCGGCCGAAGAAAACATTGAAAATGGGTGGCCCTAAAAATCCCCCYCGCAAAAGATTTTCTTACTTCTCAAAAAAAAATATAATAAGCATTAATTCGCGGTCATCGAACACCCCATTTACTAMGCGATTTAATGCCGCAACGACCGGAAACCCTTCTGGTACCGTGGGGACAACCCAGCGCCACGGGRAAAAAAACATTTTCAAACAAGGATCTTTTACAGATTCCAGCCGAACCTTGGTGGAAATAACCAAAGTGCGGGCCATTCTCCGGCATTATCACCAATGTCGTCATCATCCAGCAATTTTCGGGTACTCCCCTATCCAACAAGGGTTTTTCTCAAATGTGTACGCGACTTAAATCAGGAACTTATTGACCCTGTTAGGTAGTCGCTTCCTTCAGTAGTTTAAAAGAAGTGTTTCGTGATAACCCTTAATAAGGCTCACGGTATGATAGAACAAAATTACCTGGTTTTCCACATCGGATTCGACAACTCCATAATCACATTCTCAGCTAATATGTCTGCAATAATACTTTCAACCTCGCCGTCTTCCAATTCCTTTTCTATTTTTAAAACTGGTTTAACTGAAGCACTTTTTGCCCCTTTTGACCTGACAACGGTCGCAGATCCCGAAGAAATGGTAGTTGCTGAAGGTTTCTTCTTTGCCGGTCCTGTTTTTCCTAATTTTCATTTCAAAAATAATAAGTAAAGGCAAACAAAACTAACGTTAGCATGAAACCAATTTAAATAAATCTGCAGTTACCTGGTACTACTTTCTTTACAATTTTTGGTACAGTCTGTTCTTGCGGAACGATAGATGAGGTTGATTTAGCTTTTTTAGCAGCGGGTACTTTGATTGTTATTTCAGCCTTTTCACAGAACTCTTTGATCTTGTCCATTTTAAGTTTATCTTTTTCTAATTCTACTAAAAATGGTCCGATTGCCTTTTCTCCAACCAATTTCATTAATGTGCCCAAAGCATCTGCGGACGATTCCCTAACGGCTGGATCTAAAACAACAAAAAACATATAACAACTATCAGATTTATATTTTAGGTTTTCATTTAAAATGTAATAACGACAATCCAAGTTGGATTCAAAACTAAAATCAGACGGAAGAAAGACCAATAATTCCAAGAGTTTTCAACAGATACCAAACCTTTGAATTGGCAGTGTTTTTGTACCATAAGTGCGCTTGTTCTTTCCATATCTTTCCCATACCCCATATTTTTTTGGTCCTACAGTTTTCCGATTCTCATATCGTTCAATGTTTCCACAACTTCCTTCATTCAGTTTCATTTTTTTGATCTGGTGTTGACACACTTATATCCGTAGTATTTTGACCTCCTGAATCCAAATCCGCGGTCAGTTTGACTCTAGCAGGTGAGAATTAAGGTCGTTCCAAGGTCTAATTGTGAAAGAACCATTTAAGCGGAAAAAATCTATTCATCTGTACGCTTTGTTCAAAAGAGACGTTAAAGCGAGGTAAACCACCATCCATGTCTTAGAAAGATAGGGACATAAATAATAAAACACATATAAACTCATTCGCCTATCGACCAGTGGATCGGTAGGTCGTGCTAGTGCTCCAGTGCATTCCGCGAATTACTATTTCTTATAGATTAGATATATTAGATTCTTTATCCATTTTCACATACAACTATTCCAAAAATTTGTACACTTCGACGGTGACAAACCACACTGATTCTGACGTTTTAACCAACTAAACGATTCAGTTTAGTGGCTTATTGAATATGGAAGGAAATGAAAGAGATTTCAACCGACAAAACATTAACTTGTGCATCTCAAGTATCTCCATTGAAATTAACTAACTCTGAAGTAAATGGATGGCAAACAGTTAAAACAAGCACGCGACAGCGACCTAACCCCAATAGTCCTACCGAAGAAACCAACAAGAAACGACACTTAAACATATCTCTAAGCAATCAGTTCCAAATATTAAACGAGCAAGAACCTGAAGACACCTCCGGTGCTAAATGAAAAAATCCAAATCCACCCCCCATATACATTCCTGATGTTTCTAGCATCACAAAACTACAAGAACTCCGTAACTTGCAGCTACCAGGAGAGCTCACCTACAAAGCTGTCAACACTGACTCAATCAATTCTTTTAGAGCGATAATTCAATTTCTTGATAACAAAAATGCACAATTTCATACATATCAACTAAAACAAGATCGCGCTTTCCGAGTTGTGATTCGCAACCTGCACTCGACAACGCCAGTCGAAGATATTAAAACTGGGTTAGAGGAACTAGACTATTTAGTCCGAAACATCTCTAATATCAGACACAGGGTTACTAAAGATAACACACCTTTGTTCTTTGTTGACTTAGAACCACAAAACACCAACCAGGAAATATACAAACTAAAGCGACTCTTGGCTTCAGAAATTAATGTCGAACCTCCAAGGAAACAAAAGTATGCAGTTCAATGCACAAGATGTCAGAGATATGGACACACCAAAGGGTACTATACAGGTTCTATTGTTGCGTCAAATGTTGGGGCGACCATGAAACTGCCAAATGTGCTAAAAATAAAAACACTCCAGCAAAATGCGTACTATGTGGCGGCAATCACCCAGCCAATTATAAAGGTTGCAATATATACCAAGAGATAAGTAAAAAAAAGCCCTATGATGAAGCAAGCCGAGCAGTTGTCATCCCTCATCAATTTACTAGCAATACTAGTCACGAAGTTAGTGTAAATGGCTGATAGAATCTGTAATGTAATACTCTGGAACACCAATGGGCTCATACAGCGTAAACTAGAATTGGAACAATACTTATCATCCCAGAGTATAGATATAATACTAGTCTCCAATAGCCATCTCACTGATAAATCATACTTTAAAATTCGTGGATATGAGACCTACAGTATCCCGCATCCCGACGGTAAGGCACATGGCGGATCTGCAGTTCTGATTAAGCCCAGCATCAAACACCACAAGCTAGAGAAGCTTCCAACTTTAACTCAAATTTTCGAGGTCTACCTTTTATCCTCTTGCAATCGAATTCATTAAATTTTGAAGCTTCGTTATCGACATGTCATTGGAATAATTCCTTTAATTGATTTTCAAAATTTTTGTTGCCATAAAAACATGGACAAATCGAAAATGTACCGATTTTGAACAAAGCGTACAGATGAATAGATTTTTCCGCCTAAATGGTTCTTTCACAATTAGACCTTGGAACGACCTTAATCTTGACCTGCTAGAGTCAAACTGACCGCGGATTTGGATTCAGGAGGTCAAAATACTACACAAAATATGGCGCAACCCCAAACCAGAAAAACAAATTTTCGTTGTGTCTGTTATTAAACTGGAAATAATTCCACGTGGGAACAATCCTTATCATAAAATAACCCGGTTTGTGTTTAAATCAGAAATAACGGTTTTAAATTAAGTTAATGATTAATATTAAGAATGAAATAACTACGTTGGGTAAACGCGCACTAAGTGCTGTATTTAGAATTAATTACCTGATTCATTAATATTCTTCGTTAGGGCGGTTGTAACAGACTTCAGCAACTTTTTATTCACAGCTACCGGCTGGGTCTTTGTGAATGCTCTGGCCAGAAATAGGGCTACTTCGGATTTGACTGTAGGATTTTTATTGCCAAGCGCTTCTAAAACGTCATCTAATATTGCCTCTAAGCTGGTCTATAAAATGCAGTAAAAATTAGTCTTAATTTCGATAAGAATTGTGAGCTTTCGTCTCAATTGGTCCAGATTATGATGCAATGTACCAAAACTAGAAACTAGATTTCCTTCCTTCCCCCCTTACTCTAATAGCTATCTTACAGTTAAAAATATGAAAAATCGGAATGATACGTAAATTTTTGTAAGGGGGGACAATTTCATTCAATATTTTTAGCCTTCTTGTTTCAATCCCCTAGGACAGATAGATGTCTCCCTTCAAATCTTAGATGGAAATGGGGGTCAAGTGGCACATCGTTTTAAAGGGCATTCGAATCTCTTCCTCGCTACGCCCATGGTGGCACCGTTTCAAAATTTATTTGTAAATAAAATTTGCATTCATTCGAGCTCTCATCGCTGAAATTCCACAAAAAGCCTTGAAATTCTATCAAGAAATTCCAAAAATACGTTCTTTTTTTTAACAAAAAACATGCTCGGCCAATTTAAAAGCTGTCGGCAAAACAGTAATATTATTGTTAATTCGCTTTTGCTTCTTGGGCTGTTCAATGAACTTTTATTAAGTGCATAAAGTGGTTCCTTCAAGAAAGATTCTTCGATGCAAGAACTGAAATTATTTTCATTTATGGAAAGGTTAGAAATTGCACACGAAAGACGATATTGGTTTTCAATGAAATAAATCGGAATCATGCACAAATATGTGCTGGATTTCATTTACAGGAAGATTTGTTAACATTCCAGCAGGACAGATTTCCGAATAAATGGATTGGCAGAAGGCGACCAATTGAATAGCCTTAAAGATCATTTAACGCCCCTAGACTTCTTTCTTTGGGAACATCTGAAAGGCATTGTTCTTAAAACACAACCTGCTGATATTGATGATTTTAAAAAGGGAATTGCAGCAGAATGCCGGTCAATTTCCGGGAAGTTTTCCGAAATGTTAGGAAGGAGTCCGAAAACAGACTTTATTATTGTTTACAGGAAAATGAACATTTTGAACAACTGATAAGATAATGCGTAAGTAGATCCCATGTTTTTTATTGTAGAAATTTTTCTTCCTCAAATTAAAAGTTGTTTTTGTCGAAGAAAAATAATCAATAAATGAGATATCAATTGTTTAAATTAGATTTTCTTCTTATTATTGAACAATTTTAATGGCGTCTTCTACTATTCTAATAATTTGTACTGCAAGTAGAGTCAATGCAATAATTTTAGTGTAAACACTAACCTGGAAACCCACATTGCTATGTGGAAAAACTTAATTGTTTCTGCCACTTTCAAACGCGATTAGTCGGAAGCCTCTGGACAAAAAGCAACAACGTCGGATACCACGGAAAAGAGAATTGATGGCCTCTTAAAACAATGTGCCACTTGATCTGCATTCCGATTTAAGATTTTAAGGGTGCCATCTGCCCCTCCTAGGGGATTGAAACAAGAAGACTAAAAATATTAATTTAAAGTGTTTCCCTTACAAATAAAATTTCTTTTTTTTACGGGTCTTTCCGATTTTTTATATTTCTAACTGCAAGAAATATATTAAGGGTGGGAAGTTTTCAAATTGACAACCCGTATACAATTTTAACTACAGCAGATAAAAATACGAAACTCGATTAGACCTCACAGGTTGAAGCAATCTTGGAAATTTTTAGAAGCAAAATATTTAACAGGTTGTGTCTTTTCATGAGGTAACTTTGAGGCATCATCGGAAATTTCTTTAATTAGTCTTCAATCCGAATAGTGCATTTAGAGAATTTTTAAAAGAATCATTCACTTCAATAGACAGTCTTCGCGAGTTTTATTTAATTCTAAAGTGCTACACCTCAAAAAAACACCCCTTACAAACGTTGTTCAAATAAATATTGCTGTTCTTACTCATATAAATAGGTAATTATTAAATAGACCAACAATTTAAATACATACTGACAGATAAATAGCATCAATAGCCTCTCTAATAGCAGTAAGAACGTTCTGCTTTTTCTCCTTAAATTTCTCCAGTAGAGGTAAAACTAAAGTACCAGAATAAGTCTGGAAACGCTTTTTCAACCCAGTAGCCAGGCCTGCGATGCATTTCCCAGCCAAAGCAACACATACCACATTGGAATCCTTTTGAATAACCTGCAACCGTAAACAAGAAAAAATTACAATTTTACAATACAATCTGAAAGATCAATTAAATTAGTTCATAAATCGCATGGCTGCAGAGTTTTACTTAGGAAAGTTTTATATTTCGACAAAGATAGATAGGCGCAAGAAAAAATGTGCAAGTAAAAGGTGCTTTACACTTTACACTATATTTTCAAGCTCAGCGCGTTGACTTCACAAAAAAACTCGCATTCAAATCGGAATCTTCTTGAATTTCTGCGATTCGATGGAAAACTTTGCCTCCGCTTTGAGATTTCCTAACTAGAAAATTTAAAAAATCAGCCACTCAAAATTGATGCGAGATACGGACCTGTTCTTGTTTTCCTAAAAAAGATAAATTCACCCTACTCTACAAAAAACTTGAATTCAAAACGCGATTTTCTTGATCGATTCTATACTTCCTAACAAGAAATTAAAAAAAAATAGCCGCTCATAATTTAACCGAGATACGGACCTGCTCTTGCATTCCTTATAAAGAGAAAAAATTACCCAATTTTAAAAAAAAACTTCCATTCGAATAGGGATTTTCCTGAATTTCTGGGATTCGATGGAAAACTTTGTCTTCGCTTTCAGACTGAATGAAAAAAAATTTTCAAAAATTTGCCACTCAAAATTGAAGCCAGATGCGGATCTGTCCTTCCTTTCCTGGTAAAGAGAAAAATTTACCTGATTTCACAAAAAAACTCCCATTCGAATCGGAATATTCCGGAATTTCTGCGATTCGATGGAAAACTTTGTCTCCGCTTTGAGACTTCCTAACGATTATAAACGTGATAAGTTATTATTATTTTTTAAAGGTAGTCAATATCAAAACACTCCAACTTCCACCACTGCAGTGAGTATCTTTATTCGTATATACAGTGTGTCGCACTTAAGATGGAACCAGCCCTGTATTTTATTTATTTTTAGAAGCAGGCATTTCTAACTTCAGATAAAAACCCAGCCTACTACGACTTTGCAAATAGGGGCAATTCAATGCGATAGAGATATCGGAAAAAGTTGTTCAGAATTTTATTTTAACGGTAAATACCGAGTTTCAAGTCAAAAATCAAATTTTTAATTTTTTTAAATTTTGCAGATCAGATAGGCGAGTCAACTACATTAGACGTACCTTTTTGAGCGCTCTGACCAAGTCCCCATAATCTCCTGCTTCCAATTTGGGATTCTTTAGCAAGTTTTCAACAGCATCCAATGACTCTTTTCTCTCTTGCCACTTCTTCGCTTCAATTTTTTCATAGAAATCTTTGGGTAATTTTGACAAAATATCGACTGGACTTGCTAACTCATACGGATCAATATCTTCTGCTCCCTCATCGGGAGTTTCTTCCTCTTCATCGTCTGCAAAAAGTTATTGCTAATTTTTTTTAAATTGTCTCGGTTATGTTACATGCCATTGATATCTTCCGCCTCTGCCGCTAGTTTCGCCTGTTTTTGCTGCTGCGATCTGATGTATCTGGTGGGCGATCCTTTTTGGCCTTCTACTTTGGCAAATTCCGCCACAAGTTCTGCCATTTGTACCGGCTGCAAGTTTGCCTGAGCTAAATGGTTCCTGCAACCAAAGTAAATAAAATGTTATATTAAAAAGGTCAGTCTTCATTTTCAATTAAGTTTACTTCAAGCCGGGTCCCATCCACTTGTACATTTCAATGACCATGGCGCGAGCTTCATCCCTCACAGCTTTATCTCTGCCAGAAAATAAAACCCCTATTCGCTTAACCATCGGTTTAGGGCCGATTACTTTTATTCCAAACTCCCGTAATGCAGTAGTTAGGGTTTGGATACACGCAGCTACAATTTTTGGATTCTTTTGTTCGGTCCCTTTAAGCAATTCTTCTTGAACCTGATTGATTTAAAGCTTAATATAAGGATATTGATTAAACATAATCACATACACATCTGCTGAACAATAGTTTAGAGTTACGTAAGTGAAAAATAATGAAACAAAACTGTCTTCTTCAGTAGGCTTTTTGAATGAAATTTATTTTTGATTAAAAACATGCTAGAATACACGCGTTATTCCATATAAATACACTACAAGAAAAACGTATCCCGAGAAAAAAATTATTTTGGTATATTAATAATAATTTAACTTATTAAAATTAAATTTTTTTCAATAAATCTTTAACACCCTATATTTTCGTCAAAAAGCATTTACGGATTTTGATTCATTTACCATACTGACATATTTTTTTATCATAGAATCGTCATTATACTGTGAAAGTTGGTACACATAATTGTTGGTAACACACAACATACATTACTGCGAAAAATGTAGTCTTAGTATGGTCAAGTGGGGTAATTGTAAATAGGGGTAAATGTAACGATGCATAGATTTGAGTTTAAATTTACAGAAAAATCTATCACGTCTGCTAATATTAACGGCTTTATAAGACCGTTTCTTCTGAGGCGTCCCTTTTCCAATTCCGCGAACTATTCGCTACCGATACTAATAATAAGTTTACAACATCGAACCACTTACTATAGTCGAAAAGTGAAACCTTAGAATGATGATTTTTTGATAACAACAAATAAATAAAGTTAAAAAAAAACAATTTAAAACGCGGACACAATGAAGAACTAAATTAGTGAAATATTGCATCTGACTCTGTTAACATGCTCGGGCCATTATTATGTGATGGAAATGCACCAAATTCGTGGTGAGTGGCCTTTGTTATGATTGAGTGACTGTCTTGCCAAATACTATTTTATAACCTTTTTAACTATACATTTTTTAGCTTATTTATCTTGTGTTACCGTTAAATAGATATGTATGTTTGTCCTTTCTCTTTTAGATTCAATTTCACTGTGATTTCGGTTTCCGTCTAAGAACTTTTATTCAATTTTAAGACTGACCACTCTGTTACTTTTTACAGCCCCGATGATGGCTACATAAAGCCGAAACGTTCGCCCAAGCAAAATAGTAGTTTATTTTTCTGCCACTATCCATTGACCGATCAACCCAAAAACAGAAAGCAACACCTATCACTAATAGTTGTGTTGTCGCCTATGTAAAATGAATGTGAGTTTTTTTTCTTTTAAATGTAAGTATTGTTTTCTTGGCTTACAAATTGCTGGACAGGAAGAGATAGTCTATTCCCATGGCCAGCAAGATCTCCAGACCTAACTGTGCTGGATTTTTATCGTTGGTGAAGATTAAAAGATATAGTTTACAAAACTGTTCCAACAAATCGGGCAAATATGATCGGTCGCATCACAGATGCCTTCCATAGCATTCCTCAAGCCGAAATTGAATGAGCTCTATTTGGCACTAACCGCAGGGTAGATGTGTGTGATGAATGACGGAAAACATTTTGAACATTTGTTATCTTAATGTTTATTTTAGTGCTACAGCATAGTGTTATTCCTAGGTAAATTTATATTTTTTTTTTCTCGTTTTAAAGATAAGTGCCTTCAGCATTTTTGTTCCATTGCATTGCATTTAAATAAATTCTAGAAATAAGTAATTTCTAAATTCGATTTTTGTGGTTTGTTTTATTTTTTCCGCCATTTCCAAACTTACTAGATGTTTCAAGCATAGGGACAACTTCTAGTTTAATTATTTGAATCAGGAAACCTGTATTATTTTCAAGTATTAAATCGGTTCCAGAAATTATTTTGAGATGCGGTTTTTGCAGTTTAGTTCATTTTTTCCTCTGCTGTCGAATGCGTGTAAAATAACTTGATGGTAGCATTTGACATTTTTGTGAAAAATTAAAACAAAGAAATTTGTATTTAATTAATCACTCCACAACACATACTTTCCAAGATCCAGCCGCTTACCATCCTTATTGCGACACTCTGTATATGGTTTAAATATGGTTGAAGAATTAAATGTTTCCTATTAGCTCGAAGTTGTTGGGAAAATGTAAAAATTAACAACTTCTTTTAAATATTTATTTGCCAAAATTGATTTTTTGTGTCTTTTCTTTCAACTCACTACAATGTAAAGTATTATTTCTTTAATGGGTAAGTATAAAAAATAAAAATACACCAAAAAATTGTAGGTCGAATAAGGGTAATAGATAAAGATATATCTTTTAAGGGATGATAAATTTGCAAGAAAAATGTATTGGCCAGAATCGTTTACATTCACCCCAATCGACCCCGATTGTTGGTACGAAGCCCGTGTACTTAATTCGATTATAAACTAATGGTTTTAGCGCCTACTCTTATTAACAGAAAACTTAATAAGTAAACTAATTAAAAATAGGTTGCTTTTGCACACTTCCAATGGCCCAATTACTTAGGAAAAAAGGAAAAAGTAGATGTGTACATTTTCATTGAATTTGAAATTTGTTACCTACTTAGGTACGACAGAAGCAATAATTCCTGATACACAAAAAATACTTACAGCATCAAATTTTTCAATTTCCACGAACATCAAAGACACTTGCAGGGCCAACTCGCGAGTTTTGGTTCTTGGAGCTGCGAGACATTTCAGGACAATGCCAGACATGACTTCTGATACTGTTTTCCCGGCGTGTACGTAATTTTCCACATAAGCCAAAGTTGCTTCCAGCCCCTTTTCCTGACCCATGGCATTGCTGTCAGTCACAAACTTCTTGACCAGACCCAAGTACTTGCCGAATTCTGGAGACTTTTCGTCGTCCAGTTGCCTGAATAGCTTCACCAGTTCTTCATAGGCGCTCACTCTAGCTTTCCAGAGCTTGTGCACGCACCGCTCTTCAACGGACAATTTCTTATACTCCTCGTCTTCCATAATAGATCCTGAAAAGGAAAATTAGATTAATTATTCAACCTGAAACGTCAATTAGAATGGAACATGAATAGAATCTGGACAGTCGAATAGCTGCTTTGACCGGATTTGGCAAATTACGGATTTGGTACCTTAAGGTCATCAAATGTACTAGGAATAAGTTCTTTAATAACCCGAAGCCCTAAGCATTAATTAGATCGCAAATGGCAAATATCCCTTGGCACAAATGCCACAAAAGAAGGCTTCTTACCTAATAATGTTTCGTGCCGTTAACAATCCCAGATACCAGTAATTAGCAAAGCAGTTAAGAGTATTTAGACGATATTTTTTGTTCGAACACTATGAATTCCATGAATAACTCGAATGACAGAAAACGGTAGAAGAAGGAGCAGCTAAACAACAGACAGTCCAACGTTGCCGTTTACCACGATTGGTCGTTTCTAATCTAACCCCACTTTTATTCGTTGGCAGGTTAGACAAGGAACGAACTATTTTTATTTTAAACTAATGGGTTTTTCGGGTTTTTTTAATGCGATAGTCCATTATTTCCGATGATTTTGAACTTTCGAAAAATAGTTTTATATAAAAGTTGTTGATGCACAAAGTGCGCACATTTAAAAAAAATCTTATATGATACAGAGTGTTCCAGAAAACCGAGGCAAGATTAAAGTGTATTTTTTTAAATAGAACTACCCATTGCAGCTTGAAACGCTGCATAGGCACCGTAAAGTGTTTTTTCTTACTTGCGACGTTGGCAGATTATCGCCATTCTAGGAAAATTTTGCTTAAAAACATGGTATCTAAAAATTCATTGTAGAAGCAAAAAAAGCAGTTAAAATTATAAGAAAATACGTCTTTCCAATCATCACAGATCCGTTAAGGATTCTATTAAAGTACCTGTATATTAATACGTCATTAGATAGACAATTTACAAAGTTACAAATTTGCATTTACACTTTAAGCTGTGAAATCAACCGTTTTCAAATTATAATTTATTTTATTTGAAAATTTCAAAAAGTTGCTACATTTTGTAAGGTGGATATGGAAGTCAATAAATAAGTGTTTTTGATACCAACGTCGCAAGTAAGAATAAAACAATTTACGGTGCATATGCAGCGTTTCAAGCTGCATTCCATGAGCTAATGAAAAATGGGTAGTTCTATTTAAAAAAATACACTTTGATGTTGCCTCGTTTTTCTGGGACACTCTGTATCATATAAGATATTTTTAAAATGTGCGCACTTTGTGCGTCAACCACTTTCATATGAAACTATTTTTTGAAAGTTCAACACCAACGGAAATAAATGGACTTTCTCGTACTAAAAAACCTCCCTGTATATATACAGGGTGGCCATTTTCTGAATCTTTGCATGGGTAACTTCTACATCTTTAAAGATAAAGAATCCGTTAAATGGGCAAAATTGGGCAGAATTCGATTGACTATTCATTACCGTTTTCAAAATTTAAGTATCCGACTTGGTTCCTGAAATATTCTGAAAAGACAAGAAATCAACATTTTTTTATTATAACTTATTACGTAAACTGCTTAACTT